TATAGCGGCTCCCTCTGTCACTCTGTACCACCTGATCAAAATCTATTTAATGATAGATCAAATATCATCAAATAGATATTTGGCTTAGAAATATATTTAAACATTTCTCAAAATATTTAGATACTATTTTTGTCACATAAGTTTGAATCTAATAATTCAACAAAATCTTGTTCACAAATGCAATGCATGCAGACTCAGCTCAAAAAACTTAATATTGTAAAAAGGTTCTAAATTTTGTTTTCATTTATGTCAAATTTAAACTTTTCACTACACACAGAATGAAACATTTCAAATCTTCATTGCAATTTCGATTATTATGGTTTACAGGTAATGAAAACCCAGCATCTCGGAATATCTGAATATTACATAAGATCAATTAAAAGGATATTTATAAACATTGTGGTGTTTAAAAGTTTTCCTTCGTGAAGTTTTGAATTCAGTTGCATTTAAATTAACTACAGATCAGCCATATAATTTGAAAACTGGAGAGTGTCAGAAGCATCTCTTTAATGCCCCCTAGTGGCAATAACTAGCTTCAACACCATGATTATTCTTCAGAAAATTACAATCACATTATTTACTCAAAGATACGTTCATAAATTATTTGAAAATCGTGAGGTTAGAGTAAATTAAATTAATAAAACGAAGACTAGACCTTACTACTACTACTACTACTACTACTACTAATAATAATAATAATAATAATAATAATAATAATAATAATAATAATAATAATAACAATAGTAGAGTTAAAGCTATTGATTTTAAAACATCTACCTTTAGCTGTTTGCATCCCTATCATATTGGAATTTATTTATTTATTTCGATTTTCAAACTTACACGTTTCTTTTATCGATTTTTCAAAGCTGAATCATAGGAACTGCATCTCGACGCGCCACTAGTTCTGTCTGGGATGTTTACAATCTGCCGACCTAAACATGGCTGCTCAAAAACTCACTCATTACAGTTAGAGCTCGAAAACTAAGAAGAGTGGTTTTTACTTTACTCGTACTCGTTTAAAGACAGTCAAGGGACTCCTAGTGATATAACTGCGTTTTCCACTTGCCGTTTTTTGTTTGTTTTTGTTTTATTGTCAGTCTTTCTGTGAGAGTTGAGGCTTAAGCTTGCTCGCTGGATATCTTCTCCATAGAGAACGATGAGTTCTGCAGCTAGCCATAGCTGCCTTGCTGCTAAAGGACTCGACATAAGTCTGTCTGCCCTGCAGAGACAAGACCCTTACATAAACAACATTGTGGACGTGGCGAGCCAGGTCGCCTTGTACACTTATAATAATCGAGCAAATGAGTGGGTAAGTTTAGAAAAAAATGTGCTAAATGCTAGCTTAGCTTAGCCTAGCCTATTTTAGCTTCCCTCTGATAGGCGCGCGTTTGAACCGGCCCACAGGTTTATTGTTATTGAACATACCATAAGGAGTTTTGTTTTTGAATACAGAGTTTAAAATGTTTGAAATATTTAATTAAACTTTATTTTTTTGTGTATTCTTGTTCTCAACACTTTGTTTTTCAGGAGAAGACGGAAGTGGAGGGCACTTTGTTTATTTACACAAGGTAAAAAAAAAAGTTATCAGAAATTTTTTAATGAGTAGTTTGTGTTTATCCACTAAGTTGTACCTGTTTCATCAAGTCATTTCCACAAATCTGTATTATTGTCAGTATTTTATAAAGGCTAGGCTAGGATAACAGAATGCAAAGCAAGGATATTTTTTGACATTGCTGTTTATTAATGAATTTTCCATTTAAGAAAATCTCTCTGGCCTTAAAGTAACAAAATACACAAAGGTGGTTTCTATTTAAAAGGAAATTCTATTTGAAGGAAATTAATTGCTGTGGATTTTATGTAGGTTTACTAGAGTAAAGTATAAAAAGTAGCTTTTCTAGACATATTTATCAATACATTTTATTTATCTTTTTTTGTGCTGTATGCTTGTCTTATTTCAGGTTGGCATCTCCTCGGCATGGCTTCACAATAATGAACCGTCTTAATATGGAGAATCTGACAGAGCCCATCACTAAAGACTTGGACTTCCAGCTGCAGGACCCTTTCCTTCTTTACCGTAATGCACGATGTAAGCAACATATGCAACAATGCACATGATTTCAAGTAATTTACAATTTCTGAAAACTGTTAAGACAATATTGATTCCAATTTAACCACGCTTGTCAGAGACTTTTATTTGTTTACCATTACACAATGTCTCACAACACACTGGGAGCTGTGTAGGCAAACAGTACATATCAGATTGTGGTGTGTGAGGGCAGTTAGAGTTCAACCAACTGGCCATGTGTATTCCCAGTATGCAGACTATTAATGCATGACACTAAACCGGTGTTATCCTAACACAAGATACTTTGCAATATAATCTGTGCTGGTATTATGATGATGACTGTGATTTGATATATAGTGCAGCTTCAGTATACATACTAATGAATATGTGTACCAGTATTAGTTAGAGGTAATAAGGGGGAGTATTGTATACTGTGCTTCAACCTTACAGAAAAAAACAAATGTGATTAACTTCAACTGCTCATAATGATTTAATTATTTTTTAGTTCAACACCCGTAACATTTTTGGGATTAAATCATCTGTTCTGTATTGATTTTAGTGTGCAGTGGTACCACTTATTTAGATGTGTGAAATGTCTTACAATTATTTATTTTTTATTGCTTTAGCATTATGTCACATTTAGTACTTTAGAAAAATACAACCTATTTGAGGATGTGTTTGCTGTGGTAATTTTGAAATAATATCATCAGGTCCCCATCTATTCTTACTTGGTCTTAAATGGGTGTTCATTCAGCCAGGTGGCTAACAAAAAAGGGATTTTGTGTCACATCACAGTTATACAATGATGACACAAGAAGCGATAGATTACTTATAGAACAATTGTTTCTAGGTGCAGGATTTTTTCCCACTCACTTAATAAACATACTGAAATTAAAATGAGCTTTTTTCTAGGTTTTTCTGTTTGGATTATTTAGTGCTATTTGTACATATCTTTACCAGGAGTGCTAAAAAATGTGGTTGGTAGTCTATGCAGACCTTCTTAATTACTTGACTCCCTTGGCTGCCTGTAATAGATGTAGACACCTCTTACAAAGTTTGATACAATACTTCTGAGAAGCCAAGTTATGTCTTAATACCGATGGTGTTATCTCGTCCCTACAAAAAGCAGGACAGATTTGTTTTGTGCAATGGTTTGGAAGTGTGATAACAAATAATGAAAGGGGAGAAAGTAAATCATCTGAGTGGGAACTAGTAGCTCCATTTAAGGAACTAAGTAGAGACGTTTTAGGAAATTTTATCAGCCCAAGTCTCTCAGAGACCTATATACGACCCTCACTCACACAATCACGTTGCTAAGTGTGCCTGTGGGACAAGAGTCTGACAGCACTACAAAAACAGCCAGCAGAGATTAGATACACCTTAACCGCCTCTGATAATCTAAACACAGTGACGCAGAAGTTGCTGACACACACACATCCACTCCCCTTGCACACCCACCTGCCTTCAACTCTCCTTGAGGCTTCCGAGGAAGCAGATGGAAGTGGATTCCTTATGCCTGCTTTGATCGTTCTGCTTCTCGACACAGATTTTGTGCTTACTCATAGTAATAATAACCAGAAGGCTATGGGAAGGACTGTGTATGACATAAAGTTTACCAAGTTACCTTTTGCACTTCCTTTGATGGTTTGAAGTGCAAATTAAAGAACGTAAACGTTCAGTAATGGAGAATAAATTTGAAATGTGAGGCTGACTCACTTGTGGGAAGAAAGAAAAAATTAAAAGTACTTTAAACAATTAATTATGACAAAGCTGCTGATTGCTTTCTCTGCTAAAAAGGGAGTTATATGAGTCAGAGGGTGTGTATTGCAAACATAATGGTCAAATCTAATGGTAGGCTTAATTTACTTTGATTATAAAGCACCAAAAGGAGGAGATATAAATAATTGTTGTAATCAGACGGAATTTTATCTTTATAGCTGCTGCGATTTAAAAGATTGTTGACTATCCAGATAAAAAATATAAAAGTACAAAGTTTTGCACGTTGGCCAAGTAATAATGCTGCAAGTGCTTTAAGATGCCTTCAAAACCAACACGTCTGAGTTATGTTAAAGGAAAAAAGCTCTCGTGGTGTTTTGGGTCATTAGGTTGCTGAAGAGTTGTTTTGACTGGCCAACATTCAAAAAACTAACCGTCTCAGTGCATCGTGACCTCTGGTGGAGGGGTCGTGGAATCTTATCATTAGACAAACATGTAGCCCTCTGAGCGGCTGTAACTTCCTGGAATGGCGGTTGGCACAAAGTGGCATCACAGGCTAAAAATAAGCAACAGAGATATACCACAGAATGGGCAAGGATTCAAGCAAGAGCCATTTAGTGTGAGCAAGACGTTATTTCCCTGTCCTCAAGAGGACGAGGCTTTTAACGTAGCCCACTAGAAGGACTTCTTCTTCTTTGCAATCCTGCTACAACTATGCATTATTTCTCAGTTTTCAAAAGTTTTTGTTGTTGTTTTTCTTTTATTTCTTTTTTACAAATGCAAATATGTGTCCAGTTAAATCAGGAGAGCATTAAGAAGTCTAATTTTCTAATGGAAAACATATTTGTGCACTTTACGAAAATGACCTTTGTGGAATAGCAGTTTTCCTTTAGCCATTTAGCAAACATATACAAGACGATACTCTGGTCAGATGGACTACAAGAACAGCTTGATTTAAATGTGTGGCAAGAACGTAACACCAGGTGGGCTCATCACTTCCACAGTAGTTGCAGTGTCATACTACTATGGGGATGCTTATGCTTAAATTGAAGCTGATCAAATGAATGGGGAGGACTGGGTTGTCCTGAAAAAAAAAATGGACATACTTTTGTGAATAATATAAAGAGTTTGATTGTATATTGACACGGCAGTAAAACCGAGCTCTTGCTTTTGTCACAACCTTTAATTTCCTTCAACTCACATGTATGGGTAGTCTTACCTCCGGGTCTGACATACTTGTATCCCAAATCTCTCTCGGACACCAGCGACCCCTTAAATCGGACCTCGGGTTCCTCCTCCAGTCTTTCATGTTTTAGTTTCCTCTGAAAAAGGCCCCTCAGCATGGTCCCAGAGCAGTCGAGCAGTTTTAAATTTCTTCAAGGGTTGGTTTTAATTTATCCTTTGTCTTGCAAAGAAAATTCAAAAAAACTGCCAAAGATAATTTGACACTATTAATTACTGGTCTCTAGGCCACATCTTCAGATGCAAATTTAGGTAGAGAATTTTTAAGTTTCAGTTTGTACTCCCCTAAGAATCTAACCAAAAACAGCTCTGGGTCTTCTACTACAACAACTCCAAAAAAGTGTGTGTCTTACTTTAAGAGCCGAGCCAATAGGAATGTACACACAGTTTGAAAAGTCTGTTAATGTTGGAAATCTGGTCTCATTCTGACGTAAAAGTCAAATCCAAACAGTCTTGAACAACACGTCCTCCACCTTAGCCAACAAAGCTTTCTAAAAGAGGAAAAAGTCTTCATAAAGATTCCGTTTCCAACAGTAAATGGTTAAGAAGCGAATGCAGAGCAATCATCATGGGCTCACTGTCTTGGATTATCCTGGTCCCTGAGGGTTTCAGAAGCAGGTCACTTGCAGACCTCACCAGACAGTTGTTGGTTGAACTTTCTGGCATCCAGGTTGAAACACAGACAATCTGGGAGGTTTCGCTCCTATCCTCAGCTGTTTAAGGTGTCCTGCTGAAAGTTTCCTCCCACATGGTCACTTTGCTGTCTTGCCAGTTGTAGTGGTATGGTTCTTGGCTTGGGTGTTACATGTCTGACTCCCCTCCGCCTCTTCCCTCCAATGTCCTGGGACCAGACTAGAGCCTCCCCTCTTTTTCTCCTCCATACAGTTTTTGGTGGTCTTCCTCCTGTCGTTTTTTTTTAGCAGTCTTTCCTCTTCACTGGAAAAACAAACACTTTCCACAAATCAGGGGTCAGGATATCACACACATTATTGGTAAAACTTCTAAATAAGCTCTTATGTTTTTCTTTTTTATCTTTGTGCTCTTTACTTTGGTCCTCTGTCTCTGAAGCTGCGTTCGGACTGGTAAAAGAGACGTCAGATTCTGTCACCTTCAGTTCTGCTTTAGCGAACGTTACCTGACAGCCAGAGCGCTCCAAGAACTACATGTTTCTATTTTTATGGAGTTGATTATCTCCCTTTGACACACCTCACTCCTTCCTATCAGTCCTGCTAATTTTTCCTCAATTTTCCAGCTGTCTGACTTCGACTCTGTGTGTGTCCCGTTGTCTCTGTCAAGCTGTCTCATCCCCAGTGAGCGCTAAGTGGCTCTGGCTCCACCAGTCAAGTCTCCCACTGCAGTTACTTATTTGGAACAGGGCTGATTTTTCCCAGGATCTACTTAACTGACTGTATGTCTCTGCTGGCCCCTTCCCTGTCTGTTCCTACATCACGCTGACCTCTCTGGTCTGTGTGCCGGATTGGGAATTCATGTTCTCTGTGTGGTATTGATAGCTACCATACAGATGCTTCAGTTGTTTTTCTCTTTACACAAGGAGTGTAGCTCTACTTTTTGTTTGTTTTGCGATAGTACTCTGTTTAAACCAGACAGTATTTTGTTTCCTTTAAAGTGTCTTATTGGCTTTTAAGGACATGAAAAAATAAGCATTTATTTAATACACACTTACAATATATTACAGATTGGGTTAGTAACAGCTTGTTGCACAGACAGATAATAAGCTAATATTTCTTGTAGTGTAATGCCAGAATAACACAACTGATTGTGAACAAACCATACTGTCTTATTTCCGCCAAATTAATCCAGTTCCAGTAAATTTGTTGTATTTTTATTGCAACTAGTAAACGACAAAACAAATTTATGTTTTTCTGAGATTGTTCAAGAAACTAGTGTGAAAATCAAATCATCGCCTTACAAGATATCTTAAGATTTTCCACATTTTGCACATTGCCAACATAAACTTTAATGTGTTTGAATTATATTTGATGGATAAAGATTACTATAAAGCAGAAGAAAACTTCTCCAAGATTTTTTTTTATTTTACATTTCTGAAAATTAAAATATTTTTCAGCCCTTTGCAGTTCATATTTTTTAGAAGAACATTTTTTCTCCAGTTACATGTGCTAGTACTTTGAGTTATACCTCAACCAGGCTTGGATGTTTAGGAACAGAACATTGTGGCCGATTCATGATGTTCTTGCTGAGGAAAGCATCCCCACATCATGATGGTTCCACCACCATGTTTCATGGGGATGATATACTCAGTGTGAAAAATTTTAGTTTTCTGCTATTTGCCAAATTGGTCAAAATGTTCTTTTACTCAAGCATGTGTTCTCGTGACCTTATTTTTGACAACGGCTCTCTTTTGATACTTATTAATAAAAGCCAGACTTGTACATTGTACAATTAATAATTATTTTATGTGAGTTGTGGATCTCTGCAACTCCTCCAGAGTCACCATAGGGCTCTTGGTGTTCAACTTTAAAATGCTGTTTTTGGACATTGTGTTAATTTTTTTTCAAAGCTGTAAATTAACAATAAGACTGGATTCATTCTGACTCTCATTTCTCACCATTTCCTTTTCTTATTTTCTGTATTTTATCAAAGATCCAAACTAGATATGTTGAGAGATAAAATGTTTTGCCCCTTTTCCTGCTAATGAGAGCACAGCAATTCTGATACCCGAGTGATATTTTTGAGGAAATATCACACATAAAAGCAGTTAAGTCATTTGTAGTTAAATATAGGAACTTGATTAATAAAACATATTTAACTTGCTGCCATGCAACCTTCTAAAGAACCATGTTGGAGTCGTTTCCCTCTTGTCTTCGCTATGTTTATACAGTTCAAGAGACTCCTGGGGCCCATGTTTCATTGGGTAATTGTTGCTGCCTGCCTCTGTTCCCATTGGCTTGGCTGGGAAATGACTCATTTTAAAGCCTCGGCCGTGTGAGTTCTGATGTCATAGTAGATACTTAGAGCTATTTTATGACTGTATTTATTTGATTTTAAGGTTATGAGTAGGTCAATTTGCTCATTTTGTTGTCTGCTGACCTTACCAATGAGCTCATCCCAGAGCTGTAGAATCATATTTATAAAAATTGATTTTTGTGCTCATTGTCTGAATCATTATTGCAAAGCAAAGCATCTTGTTTGATTTGTATTTTTTATTATTCTGTCTTTTTTATTATTATTATTACTGTAAATGTGTTTGTTCGGCTGATTAAACCTTATCTTTTTTTTTTTACGCAGTGGTTATTCATGGGATCTGGTTCTACGATAAGCAGGACTGTCAGCGAATTGCACAAAGGATGAGGATGTAAGTATAAATTCAATAGATGGCAGTTTCACAGTTAGTTAAGATTTTCCTATTAAAAAGGTTACGGGTTAGAGATGTGTTCTTTGAGTCAAAAATGGAAAAATGTTTCTTGATTCCTTAATTTTTTGTTGGATTTGAAAGTACTGCCACAACAAAGAACTTTCAACACATTTTAAGCTGCTATAGTTATTTCTTTCTTGCAAATCATTATAATATTTGGAAACATTTCCTTTAATTAATGTAATTAAAGGAAATATTAATTATTTCCTTTAATTAATATTTCCATTAATTAAAGGAAATACTTCTTTCCTTTAATTAATGACTTGAAACTGATGCGGGGAATCCGCACTTTGTCCAGTTTGACCCAGCAGGAGCAGATCCTCGCTCAGTCTCAGGGTGGTTCCTTATCCCCAAGAGCAGTAGCAAGAGAAGGAGCTGTCTTAGTCGGAGGAAATAACGAGGCGAAAGCGGTCGACATCATTCAGATGTTGAACAAGGCACGAACAGAGTATGATAAGGTAGCGGAACCCAAATGTTTCTTTAAGGTTTACATCATTTATAAGGGTTCTAATGGATTATATTGTGTGTTTTTAACACTGTTGTGTTACTGACAGTCTACCTCAGAGCCAAAGGAGATTGGGGGCAGCAGTGTACTGTGTGGAAATCCTAATCTGATCAAACCAATACCAGTTAAACCAAACACTCAGGTAAAAACACACATATACAATGTGTGTTTTCAGGCTGGAAAATGTCACATTTCTCCATAATATTTCTACCTGTGTTAATTTTGTCCCTTCTAGGTCAATGAGGGAGCAGACACCACGGCTGTGACCTTAACCACCCTGTTAGGCTCTCAGCATCAGCACCACAACGCTCTTAAACCTGACCCAGTTCCTCCTCTGGCTGCTTCCATGGCAGCAGGAAAGGTCGCCCGGCCACCCGTCGCCCGCACACTGACCTACGAGGATTCACTAAACTCTGGCAGAAACTCTGGCAGAAACGCCGTCCCTTCCGGAGGTGGAGACCCTGTAGTCGGGCCGGCGGACAGGGAAGACAGTGGGAACGCTCTCCGTCAGCTGCCGAACCAACTTCAGCACTGTCCGGCCATTGCAAAGCTCATACAAGGACAGAGGGGGGCTGGAGGAGCTGGGGGCGTGCTTCAGACACTGTCCGAGTCCCCAGAGAACCGGCTGTGTGACAATGGGGTGCAGCAAGAACACCACCACCACCATCATCCTCACCATCACCATCATCAGCACCCCCACCTCCACCACCACCACCAGGAGCAGCAGCATGACCCAATAAAGCGTCTCCTGCAAAACCATCCACCCCTTCTACTCGCCACTTCTTTCACTGCCGCAGTTCCTCCGGCGCTGCAGCAGAACCCTTATCCCTCCTCCCAGCCTGGCCAACTGGATTCTGTGTCACGTTCCCACCTAGAAGCTCAACAAGGTCAGCAGCTCCTCCTTGGCCTGACAAAGTTACAGGCGGATATACAGAAAAGAGGGCCGACGGATTCTGCTGCCATGGGAACAGGTGCAAAATCTATTTTACTGAGATTCACCAAAAGACAAAGCAGAAAAACGTACATTCAGCAGTTTATATTTGAAAAAAGAATTATTGTTTAAAAAATAACTAGCTAATCTAGCTTAAAACCTATTTACAGATATGAGGGTTTTTATATAAATGTATAAAAATTATATGCAGTTTTGGCATAATTACTGCTCTGAATAAGTTCTTTTTCAGAAAATGTTGTTTTTTTGAGTC